CAGAGAGAGGAGAGGCAGAGAGAGAGAGAGAGAGAGAGAGAGAGGTCTTCCATCCATTGGTTCATTGTCCAATTGGCCGCAAAGGCTAGAGCTGTGCTGTGCTGATTCGAAACCAGGAGCCAGGAGCTTCTTCCGGGTCCCCCACATGGAGTGAGCTATCTTCTACTGCTTTCCCAGGCCATAGCAGAGAGCTGGATTGGAAGTGGAGCAGCTGCGTCTCAAACCATCACCCATATGGGATGCCAGTGCTTCAGGCCAGGGTGTTAACCTGCTGCGTCACAGTGCCGGCTCCCTCATTGTGGTTTTGGCTTACATTTCCCTGATGGCTAGTGATGTTGACCATTCTTTAAAAAATATATTTCTTGGCCATTTTTATTTCTTCTTTTGAGAACTATCTATTGAGGTCCTGTACCCATTTCTTAACTGAGTTGGTTGTTTTGTTGTTGTTGTTGAGTCTTTTGAGTTGCTGACTTATTCTGGATGTTAAACCTTTGTCAGATAAATGGCTTGCAAATATTTTTTCCCATTCTGTTTGATGTCTCTGCATTCTGTTGGTTGTTTCTCTTAATATGCAAAAGCTTCTGAGTTTGATGTAATCTCATTTCTCTAGTTTAGCTTTTGTTGACTGAGCTTTTAGAGTCTTATCTAAAAAGTCATCAGCTGTACCAATGTCTTGGTATAGCTTGGAGTGTTTCTCCTACATTTTCTTCCAGCAGTTTCATTGTCTCAGGTCTTAAATATAGATCTTTGATCCATCTTGAATTGATTTCTGTATACGGTGAGAGGTAGGAATCTAATTTCATTCTTCTACATATATGTATGTCCAGTTTTCCAGCACCATTTACTGAATAGACTATCCTTTCTGGAGTGTCTTCTTAAAGCATTTAAAAAATGTTTTCCTTACAGACATGTGGACCAAAGGAAGAACCGGCGTGAAAAAGAGCTCTGGGATGGCAGACTGTCCGTCTTCAGTGGAAAATAATAGTGATAACGATACTCATTCATTTTTGTATATGCCTGCGTGTTTTGGTGAGATCGAAATGATACATATACAAATAGCATTTTAAATCTATGTTTGTTAGTTCCCTTAGTGCAAACTAGTGGTGACTTTTCCTAAGTAAAAATTAATGAAAAACTAAAAGTTGTTTTGATAAACTCATAACTGTACAAAATTTCTCCAAAGAAAACATGTTGCAAAACTATATAACGTGTCAAAATCAGGATATTGACATAGATCCAATCCATACATATTATTGGGAGCTCCTCAGTTATACTTGTATTTGTGTGTTTACCATGTGTATGTGTATCCCATTTTGTGTAATTTCAGGACATGGCTTCCATCCCAATCAAATTACAGAACATTTCCATCACCACTAGGATCTCCACTTACTGCCCTTAAAAGCCATAGCCACCTTTTCCTTCTCAGTTGCCCTGGTCCAGCCCTTGGAAACCACTAATTCACTCCCCATCTTTATAATTTTGTCATTTTCTGAATTTTATGTAAATGAACTCCTATAGTAGACAGATCCCATTTGGGGTTGGCTTTTAAAAATCACCCAACACAATTCCCTGGAGACTCAACCAAGTTGCTGCATGTATCAGTAGTTCCTCCTGTTTTATTGTTGAGTACCATCCCATGGTATGGATATGTTAGGTTTGCTTATCTTTTAGCTCATTGAAGGACATCTAGGTTGTTTCCTATTTTTAGCTACTAGAAGTAAAGGTCCTGTGAACACTTGTGTACAGGTTTTTGTCTTCATTTCTCTGAGACACTGCCCAGAGTGCAGTTGTTGAGTCTTTGGCAATTGTATGTTGAGCTTTCTGAAAGCTGCCAAGCTATTTCCGGAGTGGCTGTTTGATTTTCCATTCTTACCAGCAATGTATGAGTGACCTAGTTTCTCCACAAGCATATTTCTGCCTTTCTGTCATTCTTTCTTTCTTCCTGGTGCTATAAGATTCCTTCCTTCATTCATACCCTTTCAGTTTGAAGATCTTCCTTCAGCCATTCTTTTTTTTTTTTTTTTTGAGATTTACATAGATTTATTAGAGTCAAAGTCCTCCAGCCAAAGCAGCCTGCAGGGGGGCTTCTAAGAGAGGAAAACCCAAAGAGACTGGAGGCAGTGGGATTTTTAAAGTACAATTTTGAGGAAAAAAAAAACTTGACAATCAGATTGGCAGTTACCAGGCAGGGACAAAAAACCATCATCTGAAGTGGAGCAGTCGGTACGCCAACCGGCACCTATATGGGATGCCGGTGCTGCAGGCCAGGGCTTTAATCTGCTGCACCACAGCATTGGCCCCCCATCCTTTAGCCATTCTTTAAGGATAAATCAGCCAATGACAACTGTTTCTAAAAGTTTTCCTTTGTCTGAGAATGCTTCTATTTCTCCTTCATTCTTGAAGGATAGTTTTGCCTGATAGAAGGAACTTGGATATGATTTCTTGGCTTTCAACACTTGATAATGTTTAACATATTAAAATGTTCAAAACAGGACCCATGCCATCTGAGACAATGAATGACTCAAATCTAGTGGAAAATGATAGTAACCAAGATAATGATTCAACACCTGTCTCCAACAACTCGGATCATGGTGAGTTGGAATTATATATATTATAAGTAGCACTCTTTAATTTAGATTCTTCAACATTCTTAATATTAATTCTTTGTGATCACTTTTTAAAAAATTAAGCTTTTCATTTTGAGATATGTCAGAACCACATGCAGCTGTCCGAAATCGTGCAGAGAGTTCTTGTGTACCCTTTGCCTGGTTTTCCCCAATAGTAATATTTTGCCAAAATACAGTAAAATATCATAACCAGGATATGAACATCCATGCAGTCCACAGATTTATTCAAATATACTCAGCTCTCCGTGTGTGTGTGTGTGTGTGTATGTGTTATGACTGTATTTAGTTCTCTGCAATTTTATGACATTTTTTGGTTCACTGCAGTCATGATCCAGAATTGTCTTTTCACTTTCAGGAATCCCCTTGTTGCCTTTTCATAACCATACCTACCTGCTTCATGTTATTCCTTCACTGGCTTTATCTGCAACCCATTCAGCAGCAAGTGTGTGCTCCCTATTTATATTTTTGTCTTTGCAAGGGTGTTTTATATAGATTGACTCATATGGCACATAACTTTCCAGGATTGCCTTTTACCATTCAGAATAATCCCCTGGAGATTCATCCATGGTTTCTGTGTGTATCAGAAGACCCGTCTTTTTTATTACTGAGTAGTATTCCATGGTATGGATGTACCATGGTTTACTTATTCACCTGTTGAAGTACATGTGGATTGTGTGCTGTTTTGGGTTAGTCCAAGTGAGGCTGCTGTGAGCACTACTATGAAAATACGGATTTTTCATTTCTTAGTGATAAATGCCCAAGAGTGCAATTGCCTGTTGGGTGGTATGGTATGGTAATTGCATGTTTGGTTATGTTAGAAAAAACTATTAAACTGTTTCCAGAGTGGTTGTATCATTGTACATCCCCCTGCCCACCCCAGCAATGTAGGAATGTTTCAGTTTCTCTGCATACTTAACAGTATTTGTTGTTTTCACTAGTTTTTATTTTAGGCATTCTGATAGGTATATGGTAATGCAAGGGTACTTCAGAAAGTACATAGGAAATGGAGTTACAAGATGAATTTATTTTGATGCAAACATTTTTGAAATGCATACATACTTTTTCCCTAATACACATTTCCGTGAACTTTCTGAAGAGCCCATGTACACATGTGAATAACCATAGTTTGCTGGCATTAACTTTTTACCATTTGGAGTGGAGTGTTTAAAATTTTAATTCCACTTAGGTCTCTTTACCCTTCCTGCTTTTTAATCCATTGTTGTAGCTATCAGATTTTTTTTCATTTTTATTGCAGTCATCCCATAAGGATTTAAGATGCCAATGATGCATATTTTTCTGTTCCTTCTTCCTTTTTGTTGCTGAGTAGTAGTCTATGGTATGAGTTAGCCGCAGTTTGCATCAGTGTTCACCTGTTGAAGGACATCTGGATTGTTTTCAGTTTCTGTCCATTACAAATAAAGCTACTAAGAGCACTCAGGTGCAGGTTTTTATGTCAACATGAACATTTATTTCTTCAGATAAATGCCCAAGAATAAAATTGTTGGTTTATGCAGTAATTGCAGGTTTAGCTTTGTTAAGAAACTGCCAAGCTGGGTTCCAGTGTGGCTGTTCCATTGCCCATGTCCCTGACAATGGATGAATGATCTAGTGTCTCTGTGCGCCTATCTCTGCTCTTTCTGTTCTCTCCTCCTTCCTGAAGCTCTGGAATGCCTAGTGTCTTTGGGACCTTGTTGCTTGCAACTCTTCCTTTAGCTATTCTTTAAGAGTAGGTCTGCTGGTGCCGAATACTTCCGTAATTTTTTTTTTTTTTTGTCTAAGAGTGTGTTTATTTCCCCTTCACACATGAAGAAGCCTGGCTGGAAATAGAGATTGCAGTTGAGAGTTCTTTTCTTTCAGAAGTTTTACCTACAGAAATGACGGCAGAAGCAGAATCTAGCGCTGGAGATGGCGCTGACACAGTGAACGGCACAACTGGATTGGAGGAGTACAACAACCAATATTCTTCCTTTTTGTTGTCTATTTCTCCCACTGCCAGTTTTGGTGAGTTTGAAATGACACATATAACACATAACCCTATTTAACCTCTCTTTATCAACATTTTTGATGCAAACTAGTGGAAGCTGTTTGTTTCCTATCTTGAAGGCTGGTTTTAGGTGATGTTTTAAATACTATCTACTATCTGCCAAGTGCCACTTATTGCAAAGGCACTGTGCTAAGCAGCTGGCATGTATCTTCTTCACTTACTCTCATGAGATGACTCCATGATGCAGGTTCTCTAATGGCCCCATCCCTTAGCTCACAGAGTTGGTGAGTGACACTTGGGTCTCTCCATTCTGGGCCCCTCTAAATTTCAAGCTTTTGTTTCTCTCCGGTGTGCTGTACTGCCTGCCAAGTCACAGTACAAGCCAAGGAGACCCCAGGCTCTATGGCTTCTAAGGGCAAGCCTTTCAAATTAGTGTCTTTGTGTCTTGACTTCCAAGCAGCTAATCTCTTACTCATGACCTAGAGCAGAGGCCAGAAAACTTTATCATAACTGCTGACTCCTGCTGTTGTCACAAGAAGGCAGCCAGAGACCAGAGGCAGAAGGATTTGATGTGGCGTTGTGGGGGGCGGGAGGCCAGTGCAGGGATCCACCTGTGGACTGTGCTTTGCTGACTCCTGGCTGACAGCAGGGCTTTTGCCTTTAAATTATTTTGTTTCACAAGCTAGAAGAAACTTCAAAACTTGGGCTCTTTGTGTGGCAGTGGGCACTGTTGGTAGAAGTCTAAGTTGGTGCAGACATTCTGAAGGGTAGTTTATATAAAATCCATAAAAGGATTTATGTCAGTTGACTCAATAATCCCACTTGTACCTAAAGGTATCATAGAAAAATTCACTTTAAGACTTTGATATGAGAATGTCCTTTATAGAATCATGAATAGTTGGATGCAAACAAATGAGCAAGAATAGGGAATTAGTTATGTGATTTCTGATAGTTCTGCAGCAGGTAAGGCAGTGAAGTATAGTGGCTAGGAGGGTGGGCTTTTGAATCAGGCCTCCTGGGTTCAAATCCCAGCTCACTGTCTTACTGATATGGTGACTTCCAGCCACTTTCCTAACCTAAACATCAGCTTCTTCAGCTGTGAATGACAACAATTTTAGTACTTACTTTATAAAATTGTGAGGTTCAAATGGGACAATACATGTCAAGTTCTTAAGACAATGCCGAGAAAACAGTGTAACACAAATCCACCTGTCAGGAAAGTCATGACAGGGATATGAACTCAAAAAATAAAAACATGGAGAATATAATGCTATAATGCTAACTAAAAAAGCAGGTCACACACTGTACCTAAAAGATGATTTCAGTGTTGGGTTTAAGAAAAGAAATAGAAAAAAGAATGGAAGACATTAGCAAAAGATTGATGGTTCAGAACAACCCCCTTATGAACAGCCATACTTAGATTTTAAAACTGGCTCTATAACTAGCAGTGTTGACCTTGTTCAAATAATAGCTTCTCTGGGCCTCAGTTTCTTCATCTGGTAAGTGGGAATAATGATAGTTATTAGGAAGATGAAACTGAGCTTATAGATGCAAAATATTTTTAACACAGTGCCAAATATATAGTAGCTACTCAATAAATGCTAGCTGCTTGAACATTTTATTTTTTAAGAGAAAGATTTATTTATGTGAAATTCAGAATTAGAAGGCGGGAAGAGAGAGAGAGAGAGAGAGAGAGAGAGAGAGAGAGAGAAAGAGTCAGTCTTCTATCTGCTTGTTCACTCCCCTGATGGCTACAATGGTCAAGGCTAAGCCTGGCCAAAGCCAGGAACCATGAGCTTCATCTGGATCTCCCATGTGGGTGGCAAGGGCCCTAACATTTGGGCCATCTTCTGCTACTTTTCCCAGGCCATTTACAAGGAGCTGGATAGGAAGTGGAGCAGCTGGGACCTGAACTGGTGCCTATATGGGATGCCAATGTCACAGGTGGAGGCTTTACCCATTATACTACAGTGCTGGCCCCTGAACATTTTCTTAATCATCCCCACCCCTGCTTTCCAAATTGTCATCCAAGAACCTATACTCACTGAGTAATGTAGCTCTGAATGTACTTGAAGAGTGCTAAAGGGTACAGTGGGAATTCAGAGGAACACATTTACATACATACCTGCAGCCTAAGAATTAAATTTCTTTGAGCCAGTGAGCAGATTAGCTCAAATATAACAAGTTCAAGAATAGCAAAGGGGCTGTTGCTGTGGTGTAGTGAGTTAAGCTGTGGCCTGCAGTGCCAGGATCTCATATGGGCACCAGTTCGAGTTTGGCTGCTCCACTTCCGATCCAGGTCCTTGCTAATGTGCCTGGGAAGACAGTGGAAGATGATCCAAGTGTTTGGGGCCATGCATCCAAATGAGAGAGCTGATGAAGCTCCTGGCTCATGGCTTTGGCCTGGCCTGGCCCCAGAGTGGCCATTTCGAGGTGAACCAGTGGATGGACGATCTCTGTCCTTCTCTCTCTCTGTAACTCTGCTTTTCAAGTACATAAATCTTAAAAAAAAAAAAAAACTAGCAGAAGTGAAGAATGACGACAGATAGGTAGACAGCATCAGAGACCTGTTTAAGGACAAGGAAGGAACAAACACAGAAAACAATTTACCCAAGTAGAAATTTGTGAATTTGAAATCAGACAGTTGAATTATCTTGGGCACTTTCATGGTACCCTAGCATGACAGTAACAAGGATTTTCTTTTTCTCTGTTTTTAAAGCATACCTTGGTGATCCCAAAAGAAATGTCAAGATGCTTAATATTCATTTGTTGGCTGCACAAAGGAAGTCCAACCCTAAGCAGGCAGCCCGCTACTTGGTTCGTAATTTGTTCCCCAAGGAAACCTTGATTGGCAGCTCAGTGAGTGCCAATTGCCGAGACCGCCCACGGCTTGATCCCAATAAAATGGCTGCGGTGAGAGGTATGTAAAGCTACTATGGGGGTCTATTTTTTTTTTCATTTGATCGTATGATGAATGGCATTGGCAGTTAAAGAAATAATGATGGAGGCTATGTGAATCTTCAGGCTGTTCAGTTGTTCACCTGTTTGATCCTCATTTTAACTTTGTTCCTAATCTTTCTGAATACGTTCTGCTGTCTGCAGAGTTTCTGGCCACAGTTTTTCCCAACTATGATTTGAGTGAATTTGGAAAAGAGTGGAAAGCCTGTATTTCCAATGTTGCTTCTCTGATCCGCTATTTAAATTCTGAAGCCAAAAGAAGGCAGGTAAGTAACTTTTCATGGTATCTGCTGCTCAGGTCTGTGCTGTACACAACTCTGGAAGTGATAGCACGATGCCCAGATCTTTGGGGTGTGCTAAAGATCTCATTTGTGTGGTTTCCCAGGCAGGAGATGTCTTTTCCAAAGCATGCTGTTTATTTCACTTTTTGGTATTAATGCTCTATAAAACACCCTAAAGATAAATCAAATACAGTGTTAAAGTTAGTATATTTGAAACCAAAGGCTGTTCTAGAGAAAAGTTTGAGCTACAAAGATACTTGGCGAACCTCTCTCAGTATCTAACTGAGTAACACCAAAAGGAGCCGGCTGTGTTTGTTCTCCGGCTATTTCCATGGCAGCTGGGGACTGCACAGGAGAAAATGCACACCCTTCATTACTTGTTCACTTTTGGTGATAGCAGGACTGGTTGACAAAAATGCATGTCATAGAGCTAACTTAGGGCAGATACTTCATACTCTCTATAGTCCGATGGTAGCAGGCCCCTGGTTTCTCCCCATCTATCCTCAACTTGCATTAGAGATTCTCATTCATTCTCTTTCTCTTCCTTTTTACCATAAACAGGCTACTAGAGAGGATTGCCAGATCCGTTGTCTGCTCCTGATGGAGCCTTTAACTTCACAACAGTTCCTACTTTCCCCCAAGCTCTCTAAACACCCCATCTCATTCTCACCATGTCTAGTCACTCTTGTGTCTCTCCAGTAAGTTCATGAAAACTACTTGCCAAGAATATTTGTAGCTGAGCTTATGATTTCCTGGTAAACGGCTGGGTTTCAGTGATAACTCCAACACCATCTGTCTGAAACTGAATCTGCTTATTTTTAACATTCCGTTTTATAGTCCTCAAAAATTGCACCCTAAACAATTTGAATGTCAAATTAAGATGCTGCCTGGCAAATGGTAATTTGCATATTTGCTTAGGCGTCAAAAGAGAAACAGCATCTGCCAAGGGCCTGCTGTGTGTTTGAGGAGGAACAGGATAGGTCCTTGCCATTCAAAGTGGGTCTGCAGCCCAGCAGCAGCCATGGCAGCCCTCCACTGCTGGAAAGCTTAGGAGAAATGCAGAGTCTTGGGCTCCACACCAGACTCACTGAGGCACAGTTCACATTTTAGCAAAGACCCTAGGTTCCTTGCCCCAGTGATTTGAGTGCACGTTTAAGTTTGAAAAGCCGTGACCCTAGAGCTGGGCTTGTTAACCCGAGGCCCGTATTAGAATCATGTGAGACACTTAAAAAAAAGTTCCTGGTGCCTAAGCTCCCTGTTCCCACTGGAGGTTTGTTTCAGTCTGCTGAGGATGGGGCCCTGTACAGCTGTTTTTTAAGCAAAGATCCCTAGGGTAATTCAAACGTGCAGCCAGATTTGAAAGCCACCAGGAAAGGAAAACAAGCAAAACATTGAAAACAGAGCAAAAGGTGTCATCCTCCAGAAACTCATCTGTTCATTTACTCATGAAATATGTATCACACACTTATTTGTGGCAGTGAGTCTCATGGAGTTCATTAGACAAAGCTACCAAGTTCCTTGAGAGCCAGCAAGCCATGCCAGCCTGAGGAAGAATCCACTCCTCTATTTCTCTTCCCATGGCATTATGGTCCCAAATGTTCCTGTGGCCTCAGCCAACCTTAGCAGAGGCCATTAGCTTCTGTAGCAACCGAGGGGCCCTGGTAGGTGGGGGAGTATGTACCTCTTTTCTCACTATGGGACTTGGTTTATCGATGTGCTTCTTTGTTTCGACAGAACAATGGTGGTGGCTGTAAGCTGCCTGGTACACCAGCGTCTGCAGATTGGAATGCTGGAGGGGTCAGGGTGCCCAGTGAAGGCGGCTTTCAGTTTCCTCAGAGTTTGAATGTTCCAGAAACAAGAGAAACTGGGAATTCTGTGCCTAACAGGAATGGCATTCCTGAAGAAATGGGAAGCCTTTCCATTAATAATACAATCTACTCTACTGAAGTGCTGGGTGAGATGATTATTATTATTATTTTAGATTTATTTATTTGAAAGAGAGAGAGAGAAGGAGGGAGGTAGAGGGAGATTCACACACACACACACACACACACACACACAGATTTTCCATCTCCTAGTTCATTCTCCAATGGCTGCAACAGCCCGGTTTGGGCCAGACCGAAGTGAGGAGCCAGGAATTCCATCCAGGTCTCCCACACGGATGCAGGGTCCGTCATCTGCTGCCTTCTCAGGCGAATTATCCAAGGAGCTGAATCATAAGTGGAGCAGCTGGGACTTGAACCAGCACTCCACTATGGGATGCTGGTGTTGCAATTGGCAGCTTAACCCGCTGGGCCATAATGCTGGCCCCTGGGTGAATTTAAAAAATGAGTTCTAGGGTGGGCATTTGGCCTATTGAGCTGCTGGTTAAGACACATCTTGGAGTACCTGGATTTGATCCCCAGCTCCCTGCTGATGCAGACCCTGGGAGGCAGCAGGTGATAGCTCAAGTAGGTGGGTTCCTCCCATCCATGTGGGAGACCCAGATTGGGTTCTTAGCTCCCAGGGTGGTCCCAGCCCTGACCTGGCTGCTACAGGAATGTGGGGGAGTGACCAGTGTATGGGAGCCTTTCTCTGTTTTTCTACCTCTCAAATTAAAAAAAAAAGATTTTAAATCAAATAAATAAATAAAAATAAATTGTCTTGCTGCTAAATGTTGAATCTGGGTGATGCGCTTATGGGGTTCATTGTACTGTTCTCCCTACTTTTATGTATGATTGGCCTTGTGTATTCACAGTGTTGCATCTTCAGATTCACCAACTGCAAATTGAAACTATTTGGCAAAAAATTATAAAGAGCAATAAGACAAAAAAATGTCATGTTTACATTGTATTAGGTAATGTACGTAATACAGAAATGGTTTAAAGTATAGAGAAGGATGGATAAATATTATATGCAAATACTGTACCATTTTATATATGAAACTTGACCATTCATGCATTTTGCTATATATAAGGGGCCTGGAATCAATCCCCTGAGGATACCAAAGGCTGACTGTATGTTTGAAAAATTTCACAAGAAATCAAAACAATTTACCCTCTTATATTAGCGAGTTAACGGAACCTAGATGCTTAGGTCTGAGACGGATGGTTTTTGGCGTTCAGCTGAATCCGTTATTTTCCCTGCAGAAACTATCTCCTTGCCAATTCAGCTGAGCAGTGTGAGCTCTGCCAGTGAAGGGGAAGGAGCCAGAGGTTTTTGTTCTGTGTGCCCGGCCCACCGCACATGCTAAGGCCTTTGGCAGGAATCCATGAATGCCATTCCTCAGAATGGTGGCCCCTGCTGCTGGCTGTCTAGCAAAGGTGCATCTATCTGACTGTCCTTAAAGTGGCACCTGTGGTAGCAAAACTTAATTCTGTCTCCACAGTCCTAAGTAGAGTATTACCTGGAATTCTGTTCAAACTGAATTGTTGAAATGATATATCTTTATAATATATTTTTTATATTATAAAAGTAACCTAACTACCATATCTGTTAAGGTTGTAATGAAACAACAAAAATCACTGGACAAATAGCTCCTGTATTTAAAGAAGCATCGAAGAAACCCAGCCTCAGGCGGGCAGGAGCCACAGCACCCCAGGCTATGGGGAAAAAAATAGATCTTGTGTGTGGAACTTGGGTCACAAGGTCTCCATCCTGACTTGGTTGCTAGGTGCTCTGGGAGCCAGGCAGCCACCAGTTTGTGTGTAGTTGTTAACACTCTCTCATTTTAAAAATTGGAAAAATATTTCAAAGGGGGCAAAAGCTCCTACAATCAAGATACCTTCAAAAACTGTTGTGGCCCTTTTCATTTCCTTAAGGTTTTTTTTTCCCCTTATGAATGTTTTGAAATGTGGTCACCATATAATTACTCATCTTGTCAATATTATAATATGTGTTTGTTTTTCCTCAAGAATCTACAAGCTTCATGATCATTGATATAAATAGGTTTATAACATTCTAGTGAGTTACTTACTATACCCTGATTTATTTAACTCATCTTTGGTTTTTGTTGTTGCTTTGGTTGTTTTGTTTGAAGTTTTTTTTTTTTTAAGAGGATTATAAATCACATTGGGAAAAATTCACTTCATTTGGATAACTTTTTCCATATTTTGGATTTTTTTTATATTAGGTTCTCAGAAATTGAATGACCAGGTTAGGGTATTAATCTTTTTTCTGACCTTTGATAAATAGCAAGGTTAATCTCCCAGAGTCAAGTCTTTGGACCCATTGAGTGAGTTCCTAATAATTTAATCTCTCTTGCTTAAATGTGGAATCTGTCAAAAAAAAATAATAGTTTTCAAATATGGTCAATTTGGATTAGTGTGGGCCAAAGAGAGATGATGTAGATTCAGTTGTATTGTAGGGTTGAGAAATGAAATCAAACTTAAAATTATTAATTTTTAATTCAAATAATATACCTAAAATATGATATCTAGGGCAAATCAGCAGTCTGTTGCCTTTTAAATGGGTTTAATACTAAACAGAAAACCTACATTTAACAATTGTAAATGCATTGTTTCAGTAAGAGTCATGGTGCTTATGTGTGAAAAAGCCCTTCTTATAAGTAGGGAAATAATGCATTAAAATTGCTTAGAACTTGCTACTAAATGTAATTTTAAAACTTAATGTACACCAAGAGGTAGCAGAATACTGAGTCTTCCTCTTGAATGATGGGAGTATATGTAATCACAGTAGCAGTATTTTCTGCCTCATTTCTCATGCTGTCTCAATCCACTAAAAATTTGAGCCTTCAATTCTTTTAACCTGAAATTTAAATTTTAATTTATATTTTATTTAATTTAATGAAACATTTTAAGTTTTCAGCCTAAAAATTTGGAAAAATTTACCTTTCTGTTACAGTCTTTAAAAAAATACCACCTAACATCTGCCATGAAAATTAACATCTTTCTCTTTGCTCTTCTAGAATATTTTGGAAATCCAAATAGAAATATACATGTACCGTCTTCGTTAATCCATGCAGCAAAATCCAAGGCTCGCCCAGAGCAGTCGGCCAGATTCCTCATTCGCCACCTGTTCCCAGAGGAAATCTTGGTCAGAAGTAACGTCTATGGAAGTATTACGCAAGGCATCTATGCCCTTGACCCTAATAGGATTAATGCTCTCCGAGGTTTGTTCTCCATAGAGTATGTCAGAATAAATAAGAGGCCAACTGTGTTAGAGAAGAAAGGCAGGGAGAAGAATTCATTCGGTTTGTGTATTTTTTGAGGAGAGTCCCTTATCACAGTATAACAAGTAGCAGGTCCATGAATTGTACTTCTCTTTGCATTTGGATTCTTAGGGCTAATTGCTCTGTCTTGAATGGCTTTACTAGAACGGGAAGGGCATTGTTAACGGTGGCTCTGTGCTATGGCCTGCCATGGGTATGGAAACTCAGTCACCTTCACTGAAGCTTTCTTAATTCACACAAGTTTGAACAGCATTACAGCAGGTTACTTTGCTAGACTTTTCCTTGTGCACATTAGCATAGTGTAGTTTCTGTGACGTATATAAATGAAGTGTTGAAGCGCCCAGAAACAGTTCGGTGAAGCCTTACATTTGGACAAAGGAGGAAGCAGAATTTCTTACTTATATCACAGGTGCCCAGCAAACATGTAGCTCTGACTTCCAGCCTGATTGCAGTTAGTTCCTCTTTGGTTCTTCTCTTCACATCACACACTTTCATATCCAGCACATTGGAACAGCAGTGGGGCATCAGACGAAACTAAAGAAACCTGGTTTACAGCTCCTTTTGTAACCATTTGCCCTATCTTAACCCAGGTACTGTCAAACTTTGTTTCCTACTGCAACCCATAAGTAAGAAATACATCTCACTTTGTGACACAGCACATGTGTGTGATTTTTATACAAGCTAGGGAAAGTTGCATCCCAGTGTTTTCTACTCTATGATATTCCTTTTAAAATTGCTGCTGTCAGTGATTTCACCTTGTAGTCCGTCATTAATCACAACTTAGAATTTGAACATCTCTGAGCAAACCAGCCAGGCAAAACACTCACACTCAATTCCTCTTACCTGATGGTACGAAGTTTATAGTCAGTTTGGAAAGGAATGTGTTTCTAGAAGAAGTAATGTCTTTCTAATTGAAGTTTTTTAATGTGAGGCAAAAAGGTGACTTTTATAATAAGTTCTTTAATATCTGAAGTAGATCAATTCCTTAAAATTGGTGAAAAATATTTTTCTACATATTTCATACTCTATTTATTTATTGAATCATTTTAAAATCAAGATGACATCTTTTGCAGTAAAAAACAGTCAGCATATTTTAACAAACTTCCTGTAAGACCCGAAGTTCGATTGCTTTGGAGAAGGGCAGTTGGGAGAGTTATTTCAGCAGAAAGAAAAGAGCAGTCATTGTCTTCCCAAGAGACAGAGCCAGGCCCAAGGAGTAGAAGCTGACAGGAAAGCATATTTATTTCACTTTAATATAAGGATAAAGTGAACTTGGGGAGCTGGAAGAGTCAGACCAAAGGCTGGGAAAGCAGGCTGAGAGGAGATAGCTGCACTAGTGGGACATCTAGGTTGATGGCCTCTAACGTAACTTCAGTGACTGGATCACTTCATTACAATCTATTGCAATAGAATACAGCAATGTGGCAAATGCCCATCTGCATATTACCAGTATAGGCACTTAGCCTTTTGTGTTCCAGGTTTTTTTTTTTTTAAAGAGTAAAGCACTACTGCTATAATTACAGTTCCAGCCCATCATCCCTTTCCCTGCTCCTCCTGCTAGAAGTAATTCTAGTCCAGGATATATCATTCCTGTGTATATTTGGTGTTTTTGTTACTTCTGCTAGTAGATCCATAAATAACATGTGATACTGTTCTTTAGTGGTTTTAATGGACATAAATGGGAGTTTAGCCTTTTGTACTTTTTTTATCACTCAACATTATGTTTTTGAGACATGTTCATATGTTTTAACACTGACTGGTATCCCATTGAACAAAGAAACCAATCTATTCTTCTATATTAATATCATTTCTTATCCTAAGATTTTGTTATTTGGGGGAACTCTTCTGAAAATTGGTGGTCAAAAGTTACCAAGACTAGTAGCCAAAGGTGTTGATTCCGTATAGGGAACTATGGGGGGACTTCAAAAAGTCAATGGGAAATGGAATTTAAAAGGATGAGTTTATTTTGGTGCAAATTTTTGAAATCCATGCATAGTTTTCCACAATATACCTTTTCCATTGGTGTTTTGAGGACCCTTCAGATACATTCTTTGGGTTTAAAAGATTTGTATTTGTTCAGCTCATTTAATAATGGGTACAGTCCATGAGTTTTAGTTAATTAAAGTCTTAATGACCCTTTTACAGACAGAGAATTAAGGTTGAGTACATTCATTTCTCTGAGAATTCACTTCTAAGTAATTGTGATGTTTTGGGATTTTTACCACCAGAATTTCTCCAAGATGCCTACCCAGGTTTCAATCTGTTGGAAAATGAGTATCATTGGAAGCTGTGTGTGGCAGCCATCAACAGCTATATCCGTGTCCTTCGCCATGACCTCAAGAGGTTCCCAAATAAATCCTACCAGCTTCCAGGATGGGGGCCAAGAGATCCCAGCTGTAACTGAGTGAAGCCCTTGAATGTCAACCAGCCCATTTCTTGTTTGTTAACATTTATAGTGTTCTGTAAGTTTCTCAAGTTAAAATCCCAAAGTTAGCCTCTTATGGCAGAGTAGTTTCGCACTGATACCTGGAGAAATGGCAAAATTCCTTTTCTGCCCAAAAGGGAGGCACAGTTGTGGTCGGAATATGTGTAATGTGTCATCTCCAGGGCAAGGTGACAGGTAGTGGGCAGCATACTGATAAAAGCCCGTGACTGAGGAAACAGTGTGAAACTGCCAGCAGTGGTTTTCATTGCTGTTGGAGTGTAGGCTGAGAAAAGTGTGCTAAGCACTCAGGCAGCATGTGAGCATTTGTGAAGTGCATGCAAGTAAGCAGGCAGAGAGCTGTAGTTACAGAGGCAACCCATAAAGCAAAGTGGCTTGCATGGAGTATATCCCTAGTGTTTGCCAAGTGAATCTAGCTACAGAGCTCTAGATCTCAACTCACCCGCTTTCAAAGGGAGAGAGGGTTTCCACAGGGCCAAAACCTGTCTACCTCCTTTGTAGGGTCTACATCACCATGCTCAATCTAAGCTGTCGAGAGAGGATACCTGTGTCCTTTTGATTTATTCCTACAAGAACAGCATTCTTTTTCTTACCTCATGATAACATTACTCAGGGTACGTGAATACAGATATGGTTTTGGTGCCATTGAAGTAATATAAACTTAAGAATACATTACTATGAATAGAAAAAATCTGACCAAATTCAGACATTAACATTATTTGTGGTTTCTGAAATGTCTGAGTGAAGGTTTTAATGTATTTGCATTTTTGATAGATTGAACTAGTTGAAATACTTAAACATTTGAATCTTAGAAAGTTTAAATAAAAAACATGATCTGAACTTCAATTGTAAAAAAGTAGCCTTAAAGGGTGTTGGCAGAATGATTAGGTAATTAAGAAAAAACAGTTTCATTTTGTTCATGAATAGGATTTTCTTTTTGACCAAGGTTTTGCATGTCTTTTTAGCCATGTGAAATATTGTTAAAATTTCATTGTCTGAAATTTTGTATTTAGGACACACTTTGTCAGTTGTAATATCATCTTTCAGCTTTCAACCCAGCAAACAGTCCTCAGTTACATTTGCTTTGCAGCATTCTTAGTTATTGTTCAGAAAGTAAATCTGCTCCTTGCAAGTGTACAGCCCTTAGTTGTGGCCATTTGCTTGTGAGCCATGGCTATCTTAGTTAAGTGGTATTAACATCAGAGGTCTTATAGTAGAGCAAGAAATTTAAAAGGAAGTAATGGCAGTCCGTCAAAAAATATAATTTGTGTGAAAATTGGCAAGTTATTTTTTCCATGACTTGAAATAGTTTAAGCTACTTTCATGGGACCAATTTGTAAAATGGACACATATTTTCATATGTGATTATATCTTTTAAAAGTTAAATTCAGCTTTTAGAGTATTTTAGTGGCATATGAGTCTATACTCACATAGTTTTGTAGAAGAAAAGTTATAAAATGTAAAGATTCTTCTATAGGTAACATGCCATAGTAGTTGCCTTTATGGTATTATTTCTAAATAACATCTGGTCTTAAAAAGTAGATAATTCAAAAAATCTTCCATAGAGAGAATAAAAAGGTTTTGACCAGAGTTATTTAGATGAATTCATTTAGGATAATCTTTGGCTTCACCACTCAGGTTCACAGGTAATTTTTTTGCAAACTGATAATAGAACCAAAACAGCACATTGTACCTCAAAATATATACAATCATTATTCACCAACCAAAAATTTATAAAATAATATTATCTCCTAGGCAGAAATAAATTTCACATTGTATATTCAGATTTCAAGTTTGATTCAAATTATATAGGATTTGAAATATTCTCTGGACTAATAACCAGTCTACAAAAACAAAACATATATTTACAAAAGTTTTCCAAGACTTATCTGGTTAACATTATTATGTTGGTTGCTTATATGAGGGACTTCAAAAAGTACATGGAAAATGGAATTAAAAGATAAGTTTATTTTGATACAAAAATTTTTGAAATTATGAAGTTTTTTCACAAACTTCCTGAAGATCCTTTGTGTGAGTAGTTTACAGCAGCCCTGTCCAGTGGAACTTTCCACAATGAGAGAAATGTAAATAAGCACAGAAAAGAAGTTTGCACTGTTCCCTGTGGTCCGTACTAGGCACACGTGGCCACTGAGCACCTGAACTGTGGCTAATTAGGCAGAGGAGCAAAGCTTGAAATTTGATCGCTAAACTTTTACTTAATTAAAATTCGAAGATAAATAATCACAGGTGGATAATGGCTATGTTAGATGACCCAGTTTAGAATTCACTTTATTTTTTTAAAAGTATTGAAGATGGTTCCCATGGTTTGGATCATAATGTATATCACTTCTTTAAAATCACATTTGATTAGGCAAAGTAAATTTTGTTGGGATGTGTTTCATGTTTTATTTTAAACTAAATTGAACCTTTTCTTTATTCAGAATCTCTCAATTTAATTGTTATTGTATTAGTCCAATGTTAAACATTTTAAATGCTTGTCCATAAGACTTGTTTTTGCTGAAAACATTTATCTTTAATATTGTTATTTTCCAAATAAATGTGATCAATAAACACTTAAAAATATTCTTGATAAGATGCGTGGTTTGTTTCTTTTAATGAACTCGTACAACTTTTACTAATGTTATCTACAGTATTTTATATTAATGGTAATGCATTTTTGGCCAGTTTCAAAAATGTGGCAAAGCTAGAATGTTTGCTTGCTTCTTTGATAAGCAAAACAATAGTTTAACTGGTAACAATAACCAATGGCTGTGGTGGATGCAATTGTAAGGATATTGAAAACTCTGGAAGTGCTTTGTCCTTCCTGGGTAAAATATAAGTGTTATTAAAGGATAATGCCATTTTTATGTTTTAATAGTCACTTCAGTATATATATCCTGTATATATATACTGTTTATATATATATACAGCATATATTATATATATATATATGCTCTTACTGTGCACTGAGCGCTTTATTTCATTCATGCATTTATTCATTCAGTGTGTGCCCGTGGAACGTTCTGGGTGAGAGCACTGTCAAGATAACATTTTACTTAGGACTAAGCACATGAAGAAAATAAAAACGGAGATATGGGGTGGTTGAGGAATCACGTTTCTTGGTTCACACTACACCAGCCATGGGGAGGAGGAAAGCTGACCACATGGGCAAGCCTGGAGAGAGAGGGGTGCCTTCAGTTCAAAGATTACTGAGCACCTGTAGGAGGTGCTCCCAGCTGAAGATTGAGCCCCCGGTCCTTGCTGCAGGAGGCCTACAGGCTTAGGGAGGGAAGAAGCAATCAATCAATAATTTTTCTCAGAGTGGCAAGTGCTATGGATCTGACCAAACAGGCTGAGAGTCTCTTGAGAAAGGAAGACCTTTGAAATAGATTGCGGGCGCAGCCTTATGAAGAGGTGATAGTTGACTCAGGTCCGAAAGGTGAGGGAGGGAGCCAGAACTGGGGAGAAGCAAAGACCTTAAGGTATGAGTGTGCCTATGGGCTGCACGATGGACTTGGACTTCACTTTTTTTTGAATATTTATCCATTTATTTATTCATGGAGATTTCTCAGAGATCTGGAAATATAGTCCTACCATATGACCCAGCCATTCCACTCCTGGAAATTTACCCAAATGAAAAGAAGTCAGCATACAAAAGAGTTATTTGTACCCCTCTATGATTATTGCAGCTCAATTCACAATAGCTAAGATATGAAATCAACCCAGATGTCCATCAACTGATGACTTGCTAAAGAAAATGTGCTACACACACACACACACACACACACACTATGGAGTACTACTCAGCCATAAAAAAGAGTGCAGTCCTGTCTTTTGCCACAAAATGGGAGCGACTGGAAAACCATTATGCTTAGTGAAATAAGCCAGTCTAGGAAAAATGAATATATGTTTTCTCTGATATGTGGTAGTTAATATAGAATACCAAAAAATGTAGGAATGAAATGGTCATTTTGGGATACGATTATTGTTTTTATCCCTTGTTTATACTCCTGTGGAACTGTGTTCTTCCTACTTTTTACTTGTTGAGTATTATGATTAGTGGCGAATTAAGCCTGTGATACAGAGTGGATTGAAATTATAGCTTTGAAAAAATTGATGAAGAGAGGGGAGGGAGGGGGATTGGAGGAGCAAGGGAGTGAGGGAAGTGTGGTTGTCTCATTGGAACTGTACCTAGGGAATGCATAAAATCTCTTCTTTTCATACTAATAAAAATTTTAAAAGATTTAGTCAAAGTCTCCCACGTGGGTGCAGGGGCCCAAGCACTTGGGCCATCTTCCGCTTTCCCATTAGCAGGGAGTTGGATCGGAAGTGGAGCAGCTGAGAATCGGATTGAGTCCATGTGGGATGGCAGCAGCTTTACCTGCTGTGTCACACGGATGACTCTGGATTTCACTTTTTTTTTTCTACAGGCAGAGTGGACAGTGAGAGAGAGACAGAGAGAAAAGTCTTCCTTTTGCTGTTGGTTCACCCTCCAATGGCCGCCGCTGCCGGCGCGCTGCGGCCAGCGCACGGCGCCTATCTGAAGGCAGGAGCCAGGTACTTATCCTGGTCTCAGGGCCCAAGTACCTGGGCCATCCTCCACTGCACTCCCTGGCCACAGAAGAGAGCTGGCCTGGAAGAGGGGCAACTGGGACAGAATCCGGCACCCCAACCGGGACTAGAACCTGTTGTGCCAGTGCCGCTAGGCGCCGCTAGGCGGAGGATTAGCCTATTGAGCCGCGGCACCGGCTGGATTTCACTTTTAAAGAGACAGGTTCTCATGTTGGATCACTCTTAGTCCTTTCATTATGATCAATTGTGAACTGAAATTGATCACTTGGACTGGTGAGATGGCATTGGTACATGCCACCATGATGGGATTAAATTGGAGTCCCCTGGTATGTTTCTAACTCTACCATTTGGGGCAAGTCAGCTTGAGCATGTCCCAAATTGTACATCTCTTCCCTCTCTTATTCCTACTCTTATGTTTAACAGGGATCACATTTCAGTTAAATTTCAACACTTAAGAATAACTGTGTATTAATTACAGAATTAAACCAGTCATATTAAGTAGAACAGACAAAAAAACTACTAAGAGGGATAATGTATTAAGTTGTTCATTAACAGTCAGGGCTATGCTGATCAAGTCACCGTTTCTTAGTGTCCATTTCACTTCAGGAGGTTTCCTTTTTGGTGTTCAGTCAGTTGTCACCGATCAGGGAGAACACATGGTATTTGTCCCTTTGGGACTGGCTTATTTCACTCAGCATGATGTGTTCCAGATTCCTCCATTTTGTTGCAAATGACTGGATTTCGTTGTTTCTTACTGCGGTATAGTATTCTAAAGAGTACATATCCCATAATTTCTTTATCCAGTCTACCGTTGATGGGCATTTAGGTTGGTTCCAGGTCTTAGCTATTGTGAATTGAGCTGCAATAAACATTAGGGTGCAGACCGCTGTTTTGTTTGCCAATTTAAATTCCTTTGGGTAAATTCCAAGGAGTGGGATGGCTGGGTCGAACGGTAGGGTTATCTTAAGGTTTCTGAGGAATCTCCAGACTGACTTCCATAGTGGCTTGACCAGTTTGCATTCCCACCAACAGTGGGTTAGTGTCCCTTTTTCCCCACATCCTCGCCAGCATCTGTTGTTGGTAGATTTCTGTATGTGAGCCATTCTAACAGGGGTGAGGTGAAACCTCATTGTGGTTTTGATTTGCATTTCCCTGATTGCTAATGACCTTGAACATTTTTTCATGTGCCTGTTGGCCATTTGGATTTCCTCTTTTGAAAAATGTCTATTGAGGTGTCGCTCCCCGTCTTCGTGGAGGAACGACACAGGACCCTGCGCTGTTCTTTTGTCTGCTCGGCCCTCCCCGGGTTTACTGCTGGTTCTTCCCGGGTTGGCTACCGTCCCTTCCACCTCCGTGGAGGGGCGGGCCCCCTGCCACTTTCCCCACTTCCGCAGGGGAGCGGCACACCGTCGGCCGGCTCTCTCGGGGGCTGCACAGGTGTTCCTTCAGATAGATGTTCCCCTTAGATGTTCCTGGTGCATGTTGTCTCTCTCTTCCTTTATAGTCCTCTTCCACCAATCCCAACTCGGCTGCCCACACGCCGAGTATGCTGCTCTCCTCCAATCAGGAGCAGGTCCTACAGTTTATTGGTTGAACTGGAGGCAGCTGTGTAGAAGCTGTTACTCCATTCTCAGCGCCATATTGTGGGAGAGCAGATGCATAGAATAAGTCTTAATTCCAGTAACTTAGTCTAGTCCGAGTTGCTCCCCACATTGAGGTCCTTGGCCCATCTCTTAAGTGGGTTGTTGGTTTTGTTTTTGTGGAGTTTCTTGATCTCTTTGTAGATTCTGGTTATTAACCCTTTATCTGTTGCATAGTTTGCAAATATTTTTTCCCATTCTGTCGGTTGTCTCTTCACTCTCCTGATCCAACATGGGAAGCGAGATACTCAGCAGACTCATAGAATGGCAGATGTCCTAAACAGCACTCTGGCCTCAGAATCAGCCCTAAAGGCATTCCGATCTGGCTGAAAAGCCCATGAGAGTATTTCAGGCATGGAAAGCCAAGATACTCTGGCAAAAAAAAAAAAAAAAAAAAAAAACAAAAAAAAAAAAACAAAAAACAAAACCCTAAATGAAAGATCTCTGTGAGTGAGATCCCAGTGGAAAGAACAGGTCTTCAAAGAAGGGGGTACCTTTCTCTGAAGGGAGGAGAGAACCTCCACTTTGACTATGACCTTGTCTAAACAAGATAAGAGTCGGTGAACTCAAAAGGCTTCCATAGCCTTGGAAACTCATGACTGGTGCATAGGGAGATTACTGATGCCATAAACAAGAGTGTCAATTTGTAAAGTCAACAACAGGAGTCACTGTGCACTTACTCCTCATGTAGGATCTCTGTCCTTAATGTGCTGTACATTGAGACTTAATGCTATAATGAGTACTCAAACAGTATATTTCGCTTTGTGTTTCTATGGGGGTGCAAACTGTTGAAATCTTTACTTAATGTATACTAAACTGATCTTCTGTAAAAAAAAAAAAAAGAAGAAATTATTAATTTCCAACTTGACTCTCACTGGGATTAAACATGACAATAGGTCTGATCTGATTTCATCATCATTTAAAAAATCATCTATTATTTTTCACTTTATGTTTGTGTGGGAGCTAACTGTTGAAATCTACTTAATGTATGCTAAACTGATCTTCTGTATATAAAGAGAATCGAAAATGAATCCTCATGTGAATGGAAGGGGAGAGGGAGTGGGAAAGGGGAGGGTTGCGGGTGGGAGAGATGTTATGGGGGGGAAGCCATTGTAATCCATAAGCCGTACTTTGGAAATTTATATTCATTAAACAAAAGTTAAAAAAAAAAAGAATAAATTCAACTACAAAAAAAAAAAAAAAAAAAAAAAGACAGGTTCTGAGCAGGGGAATACCCCTGATCTGAGTTAGAGGTTAACAGGCGCCCTCTGGTGGCTTGGGAGGGAACAAAATGTAGGAGGGGCTCGAAGGCAGGAACAGGGGGGGCTTCAGACTCATCTTCTGTG